GGCATGTACCTGTAGTCCCTGCTACTTGGGAGGCTGAGGTGGGAGGACTGCTTGAGCCCAGGAGTTGGGGGCTGTGACTGCACTCCAGCCTGGTTGACAGAGTAAGACCCTGTCTCTAATAAAATAATAATAAATAATAATAATAAAGAAAAATCACTCAGTGGACAAGAAACCATAATATTGATGCCTGGGGTGGGGTTGGGGGAGAATAGGAGGCAATAGTAAAGGGAGGAAGATATTTTACTATACTCATTGAATTTGCTCAAACATTTTAAAGTTTGTACAGCCAGGTGTGGTGGCTCGCATCTGTAATCCCAGCTCCTCAGGAGTCTGAGGTGAGAGAACCCCCCAAGGCCAGAAGTTTGAGTCCAAACTGGACAACAAATCAAGATCATTTCTCTGAAAAAAAATATGTATATAAATGGAAAATAAAAGAGAAGGAATAATGTACTCAACTTCATAAACGTGGGGAAGTCAAAATCAATCACTTAATTAGCGCTGTGCCTAATAAATATTAAATGCATAAACTGTGGCTGTATTTGAAGTACCAGCCATACCCACCAACTGCATCTGCCTGCCGGGTCTACTCCCCACACCGTCAGCTCATTGCCAGTCGGCTGGCGAGCTTCCCTCCAGAGTAGGCTGACCCTTTTCTTGCCCCCACAGGCTGATCTACTGGCTGACCTTCGCCGTGGGCCGCTCCTTCCGAGGCTTCGGCTACGGCCTGACGTTTCTGCCGCTGCTGTCGATGCTGGTGTGGAACCTCTACTATATGTTCGTGGTAGAGCCGGAGCGCATGCTCACTGCCACCGAGAGCCGCCTGGACTACCCGGACCACGCCCGCTCGGCCTCGGACTACAGGCCCCGCCCCTGGGGCTGAGCAGTTCCGCCCTCTCGCCCTCGGGGTAGGGACGTGGGTCTGACATCTTTGAACCAGCTGAGCCTGAACATCGCCCCCAGGCCTGGGACTGCGGTGGGTGGAACCTGCTACTGCCCCGACAGGGATCCAATCAATCAGTTCTCCCCTTGCCGGGGCTGCCCTTCATCTTTGGGGCCCGGGACAGTCATAACGGATGGACTTAGTTTTCTTGCAGGGAAAAAGGTGGACAGCCGTATTTCTTTTTTTTTTTTTTCTTTTCCCAGACAGAGTTTCGCTCTTGTTACCCAGCCTGGGGTACAATGGCGTGACCTCCGCCTCCTGGGTTCAGGCATTCTCCTGCCTCAGCCTCCTGAGTAGCTGGGATTACAGGCACGCACCGCCATGCCCAGCTAATGTTTTGTATTTTTAGTAGAGACGGGGTTTCACCATGTTCACCAGGATGGTCTCGATCTCTTGACCTCGTGATCCACCCGCCTCGGCCTCCCAAAGTTCTGGGATTACAGGCGTGAGCCACTGCGCCCAGCCAAAAGCCATATTTCTTAAGGATGCTGAGGGCATGGGGCCAGGACCAGGGGAAAGACACATCTCCTTCCTAAGCAGAGTCCCACCACTGCTACAAGGGCTCCCTAATGCTGGACTCTGCTTAACTCCCCGGCTTCCCAGGAGGCAGCGGGCAGAGCCACAGCCAAAGCCCTGACCACTTCTGTGCCAGCTGTCTAAGCAGAGCGCCTCAAGGACTCTGGAAACGCCTAAGGATAGAGGCTGGGCATCACATCAAATGGGACTTTCATGTTTGGTGAAAACCTTCCTGGGGATCTGGATTCAGGACACTCCATGACTGGCCTTGGGGCCCTTTAGCCTCAGTCAAGGCTACTTACAGCTGGCCAGTCCAGAGCTGCTGCTCTTCTACCTATTTAGGCCCCTGTAACTTCCCACCTTTAAACTGCCCAGAAGCCATGCCCCTCCCACGGGAAGAGGGGAGCAGGCAGAGAAATCTGCCTCCCAAGAGGGGTGTGGTGTGTTTGTGCCCACACATGGTGCTGGGGAGTGGCTGGATGGCACAGTGGCTGATGTTAACCTGGTGTGTGTGTAACAATAAACTACCAGTCTTTGTTGGCTCTTTCTTCCTGTTTGTCCCCCAGTCTCAAGTGTCCCTTCCCTGTTTAATTCAGATGACAATGGAAACCTCCCAGCTCAGCCAGGTATGGTGGCTCATGCCTGTTATCCCAGCACTTTGGGAGGCCAAGACGGGCAGATCATGAAGTCAGGAGTTCGAGGCCAGCCTGGACAACATAGTGAAACCCCGTCTCTACTAAAAATAAAAAAATTAGTTGGGTGTGGTGGCAGGCGCCTGTAGTCTCAGCTACTCGGGAAGCTGAGGCAGGAGAATTGCTTGAACCCAGGAGGTGGAGGTTGTGGTGAGCCGTGGTGATCCAAGGTCGTGCCACTGCACTCCCGCCTGGGCAACAGAGCAAGACTGTCTCAAAA